CCTTCTCCTCAAAAAATAACTCATGAGCCGAAACCGGTTTGGCTCAGTGGATAGAGCGTCAGCTTATGGACTGAAGGGTCCCAGGTTTGATTCTGGTCAAGGGCATGTACATTGGTTGCAGGCACATCACCAGTAGGGGGTGTGCAGGAGGCAGCTGGTCAATGATTCTCTCTCATTGATGTTTCTATCTATCCCTCTCTCTTCCTCTCTGTGAAAAAATAAAATATATTAAAAAAAAACACACACACACACACAAAAAAAAAACCTCATGAGCCGAAACCAATTTGGCTCAGTGGATAGAGCATCGACCTGTGGACTGAAGGGTTCCAGGTTCGATTCTGTCAAGGGCATGTACCTTAGTTGTGGACACATCCCCAGTATGTGCAGGAGGCAGTTGATCGATGATTCTCTCTCATCGATGCTTCTAACTGTCTATCCCTCTCTTCCTCTCTGTAAAAAAATCAATAATATATATATATATATATATATATATATATATATATATATATATATATTAAATATATTTTATTGATTTTGTACAGAGAGGAAGGGAGAGAGATAGAGAGAAACATCGATGAGAGTCATCGATCAGCCGCCTCCTGCACATCCCCCACTGGGGATGTGCCCACAACCAAAGTACATGCCCTTGACCAGAATCGAACCCGGGACCTTTCAGTCCCCAAGCCAATGCTCTATCCATTAAGCCAAATAGGTTTCGGCAAAATATATATATATTTTAAAAAGAACTCATGAATAAATGAAAATAGAGAGTGAATATAAAGAAACATTTGAATGGTCCCCAAGTCTAGGACACTTGAAAAGCATTTCTTGGCCTAGGATTTCCTAATAAAATTAGAAGCTAGCTCTAAAATATAGGAACACTTCAGGCATTTATTTTAGACTAGAGGCCTGATTCATAAAATTCCTCAGGCCTGGCTGGCGATCAGGGCTGATCTGTGGGACGACTCAGGAAGGTGATTGGGAGGGGTCCCCGCTGGCACCCGCCTGGGCTGGTCTGGGCCCTGCAGGCTGTGGGCAGCTCCTGCATTGAGCATCTGCCCCCTGGTGGTCAGTGCATGTCATAGCAACTGGTCGTTCCACTGGTCATTCCGCCACTCAGTCCATTTGCTTATTAGGCTTTTATTATATAGGATAACCTGCCCCAGGGACAAGTCAGATGTAATACAGCCAACTAAAAACACTCTTTCCGCCGGGACCGGTTTGGCTCAATGGATAGAGCGTCAGCTTGGGGACTGAAGGATCCCAGGTTCAATTCCGGTCAAGGGCATGTACCTTGGTTGCGGGCATATCCCCAGTAGGGGGTGTGCAAGAGGCAGCTGATCGATGACTCTCTCTCATCGATGTTTCTATCTCTCTCTCTCCCTTCCTCTCTGTACAAAATCAATAAAATATATTTTAAAAAAATAAAAATAAAAATAAAAACACTCTTTCCCTGTTCTTCAAACCCCTTGCTCAATCCCCAAGCCCTGTGGACCATACCTCAGAAATATCTCTCGCCGAAACCAGTTTGGCTCGGTGGATAGAGTGTCAGTCCACGAACTGAAGGGTCCCGGGTTCGATTCCGGTCAGAGGCATGTACCTTGGTTGTGGGCACATCCCCAGTGGGGGATGTGCAGGAGGCAGCTGATCGATGTTTCTCTCTCATCGATGTTTCTGGCTCTCTATCTCTCTCCCTTCCTCTCTGTAAAAAATCAGTAAAATATATATATTTTTTTAAAAGAAACACCTCTCAAGTCCACTCCCTTCTTTAGCCCTGCCTAGCCCATTTCAGGCTCTTGAATGGGAACTCAGGCTCAGGAACTCCTGAATTTTCATCCTATGCCTTTTTACAACTCTATGCCTCTGTAAAGCTATTTCTTCTGCCATGGGGTTAAGAGCACAGACTCGAGCCACTCTGCTTGATTTTGAATCCTGACAAATTTTCTTCATCTACAAAATGGGAATATTACTTAACAGTCGCTGTGAAGATCACACATTATAAATGTAAAGCACTCAATGAGTGCCATATACTACCCTGTTTCCCCGAAAATAAGACAGTGTCTTATATTAATTTTTTCTCCCAAAGTTGCGCTAGGTCTTATTTTCAGGGGATGTCTTATCTTTCTATGCGCTAGGTCTTATTTTCGGAGGATGTCTTATTTTGGGGGAAACACGGTAGTAATAAGTACTGTGTTAGTTGATATTACTCACCAACTGACAACCTCCTATCATCCTGAGGCCCAGCCCAGACCTAGATCATTTTTCCAGTGGCCCTGTTATTTCTTCCTTTGCTCCCCCACTATTTGATCCGTGTCTCTATTGTGGTCATTTTTACTGTACTATAACCTATTCACATACTCACATGTCTGTCTGCTCCATTAAATCTTGCAGGTTATAAAGGGCAGGGACTCTTATCACCATTTTAGCTTCAGCACCCAGAATACAATATTTTCTCAATAAACAATTTTCCAGAAAATCATTCTCGGATATCTGATTCCCAAATATACTATGGAGCTTTCTGAACATGTACCTAAGCACATTCCCTTCCCTGCTCCTTTCTGCCATCCACCTGGTAAATCTCATTTTTTCCACTTATATTTTAGAGGTATTTGAAAAGTTGAAATGTCACTTTTCCTGTGAAGTCATCTTTTTTTAAATCACAATCACTTTTTTTTATTTTATAGTAAGCATATTAGTTTCTTATTGCTACTGTACACATATTACCACACATTCTGTGGCTTACACCACCAAAATTTATTACAATTCTGGAAGTTAGAAGTCTGAAATGAGTGTTTCGGGAATAACATCAAAGTGTTAGAAAGGTTGGTTCCTTCTGGAGACTAGAATAGAATCTGTTTCCCTGCCTTTTCTTTGCTGCCAGCATTCCTTTGCTGTTGGCCCCATTCCATCTTCAAAGCCAGCAATGGCCTATCTAGTCTCTCTCACATCATATCCTTCTGATCTGTGAAGTCATCCTTGATTCCTCCTTCCCTTCCCAATTATTTCTAGGTTTATTTCCCTCTGGCATTTTGTAGCATCTGTCTTTATTAATGAACTAGAGGGCTAGTGAACAAATTCGTGCAAGGTTGGGATCCAGCCAGCCTGGTTCGTGGGCGGCAGAGCAGGGGTTGGGTATAGGCAATGGGCAGTTGGCTGGCTGCCCCCAGGTGGGGTGAGGAGGCCAATCTGGGGCTGGACCAGCTGGAGGAGAGGCTGTGGGCAGTTGGCTGGCCGGCCCCGTTATCATCAGACTGTTAGGGGCGCAATAGGAGCCTGGATCAGGCTGATTGGCTGCTGCACACATCATAGCCACCCCTCATTCTGCTGGGGGCTTTTATATATAGATTATCTTAAATGTCTTTTTCCTCTACTCAACAGATTTTTGAGAACCTGATGTGTAGTACTGTGCATGGCACAGAGTGAACCAGTGGCTCTCAATTCTAGCTGTTATCAGAATCAAATAGTTTTTTAAAAAATACTGACTTATAGAATCCCATCCTTAAAGAGTCGTATTCAATAGATTTAAGGCAAAATCCTAAATTAATCTCTGATAGGTAATGGACAACCAGGGCTGAGAACCTCTGAGGCAGATATGAAAATTTATGCCAAAGACCTACCCATTCATTAAAAAGACAATATAAATATTCATTCCACTAAGCCTGAACCAATTTTGAAGGTTCCTCCCACTTAAGAAACATAGAGACAGTATGGTCTCTTGCTCATTAATGCTCTGGTTCCTTACTATAAAACTGATACACTTTATTTTGGTTTTAATATATTTTTTATTGATTTCAGAAAGGGAGGTAGGAGAGATAGAAACATCAATGAGAGAGAATCACTGATTAGAAGCTTCCTGCACGCCCCCCTGCCAACTGGGGATCTAGCCCGCAACCTGGCATGTGCCCTTCACCAGAATCAAACCAAGGACCCTTCAGTCCATAGGTCGGCACTCTATTTTGGTCAGGTTGAGCCAAACCAGCTAGGCCAAACTGGTACACTTTAAAGTCTGTGGAAGGGCACCAAAAGTAGTAGAATGTACTAGGTCCAACTAAGATAATGACACAGGTGTACAGAGACCAGGACAAACAGCTTTATTTGGACTGAGGGTTGGAGAATGTGGGGAGGACCTGAAGTAGCATACTCAACTAAAGAATAGAGATTAGATTCCAAAATGGCCGTCAGGACTCATCAACAATGGGACTGTACTTCCCAGCAGTCTTGCAGTTAGAGCAATCAGTTAATGGTGTCTTGCAGTTAGAGCAATCAGTAAATTATGTCATGCTTGGTCAATTTGCCATTAATTTGACCAAGCATGACACAATTAAAAAAAAAAAGTAGTTTGTTTTTCTCCCACAATTAAGTTTCTACAACACCTCCCAAACTACAAATATTACAAAATAAAGTTAAAAATCACATTTTCTAGATCTTTTGAGTTATATTCAGCATTTAGCTTAAAGGTTTCACTGACTTCAAAAAATAGTTCTCCTTAAAACTCATCAGCTGAAAGCTCTATCCAAGCACTGTGAAGATGGCCTTTGCTAACCCATGGCAATTCTTTTCTTTCTTTCTTTCTTTTTTTCAAAGCTTTTGATTTTTTAAAATATATTTTATTGATTTTTTTTTTTTTTTACAGAGAGGAAGAGAGAGGGATAGAGAGTTAGAAACATCAATAAGAGAGAAGCATCGATTAGCTGCCTTCTACACACCCCCTACTGGGGATGTGCCTGCAACCAAGGTACATGCCCTTGACCGGAATTGAACCTGGGATCTTTCAGTCCGCAGGCCAATGCTCTGTCCACTAAGCCAAACCGGTTTCAGCTCAGAGCAATTATTTTCCCATTTCCCCTAAGCAGTTAATGCTGAACAGCAAGAGTAAGGCTCAGATTGGGGTACAGGAGTTGAGGGACACAACGGCTAATTTTCCCCAGTGCACGATGGCATTGAAGCTTGATGGGAGAGCAGAACTGGAGAGACTTGCCGGTAGGGTCCAGACTCTGTATTCAGTCAGAGTCACTGCTGGAAGAGGAGGAGGAGTGCTGCAAGGGGAAGGGGAAAGGAGATAACATCCAATCCAAATGACATATGATCACTCCATGGGACAGTTTTTGATTCTCTACCCTCCCACCCAGGTACATTAACAAGGTCAGGAGTTTTAAACCAGACTGTCCCTTCAATCACAAAAGCAAAGATTTCCTTAAGCAGTGAGGATATAGGAATGGATTAAACCATCCTAATCCATTGTACAGAATTTAACATACTTCACACAGAGCAAGTTTCCCAACCTTCTTTACCAAGGCCAATGTAAGGAATAAATTATAGGCACAAGCTAGGGAATAACTGCTTCCTTATAAATGCTCACTGATTAGCTGCATGGAAAGTTCCTAGAGGCTATGAACTTAAAGTGAATATAAACAACAGCTGTGTGTGCATTTATATCTCTACTTTTTCCTAACTGGGAGAAAGTGAAGGTGGGATAGAAAGTTGGGAGACTCCTACTTGAGGTACTTTACACACATACTCCCATTGACAACTGTCACTGAAAGCATTTTTAAACCCTGGCCGGGTAACTCAGTTGGTTAAAGCATCATCCCAATATGCCCTAGTCGGGGCATGTGTGAGAGACAACCAATCGATACCTCTCTTTTACATCGATGTTTCTGTTTCTCCTCCTCCCACTCTCTTTAAAAATGGAGAAATATCCTCAGTTGAGAATTAACAAAAAGTATACATACACACAGACACACACACACACACACACACACACACACACACACACACACACAAACACACACAAACATATTGATTTCAGAGAGAGAAAGAGAAATAGAAGCATCAATAATAAGAGAATCGCCAAGACCGGTTTGGCTCAATGGATAGAGCGTCGGCGTGGGGACTGAAGGGTCCCGGGTTCAATTCCGGTCAAGGGCATGTACCTTGGTTGCGGGCATATCCCCAGTAGAGGGTGTGCAAGAGGCAGCTGATCGATGACTCTCTCTCATGGATGTTTCTAACTCTCTATCTCTCTCCCTTCTTCTCTGTACAAAATCAATTAAAAAAAATAATAATAATAAGAGAATCATTGATTGCATGGCCAAAGTGGGGACTGCGCCCACAACCCAGGCATGGGCCTAGGCCCCTGATGGGGAATCAAACCATGACCTCCTGGTTCATAGATTGATGCTCAACCACTAAGCAATACTGGCCAGGCTAAAAGATTTTTTTTTGTTAGCCTCAACCAAGGATATTTTCCCATTGAGTTTTAAGAGAGTGGAAAGGAGCAGGAGAGACAGAGAAAGAGAAACATCTATATGAGACACATTGATTGGTTGCCCCAACCAGGGCTGGGAATCAAGCCTGCATTTAAGATATGTGTCTTACACTGGAATCAAACCCACGCTCCTTCAGTCTGAGGGCTGACACTCAATCCACTGAGCCAAACTGGCTAGGGCTAAAAGATTACTTTAAAAAAAAAAAAAAAAAAAACAATTTTGGAGACTCTCCAGGGTAATTTATCCCCCCATTAAATCTCACCTTTCCTTCTCCTCAGACTTCTACAAAAGATCCAGAACCAGGAATTAGTGCCCAAAGCCATTAGGAAATAAATACTAAGCAGTAAAATGTTCATGAAGGCCTCCTCAAGATCCAAATTGATTCAATACTTACAGAGTTGTCCATAAAACTACTTTTATCCTTGCTGATTAACACTCCTCTAGAGTCTAGAATGAGGATACTTGCTTAGTCTTGGGGCTGAGCATGAAACTTAGGTTCTGAGGCCGAGAACCACTAGTCCTCAATTTCCCCCTGGGTGGGCAGGGCAAAGAGGCCTATGTAATTAACACAACACCCCGAAGGAGAGAAAGGAACTAGGGCCAGATTATTATTTATTAAATATGATATAAGACTGTTTTGTCAAAAGACTGACTCTACTGCCCTGGTGAGTATGCTCAACTGGTTGGAGCGTTGTCCCGTATACGGAAGAGGTTGCAGATTTGATTCCCCGGTCGGGGAATGTACAGAAGGCAGTACTCTCTCTCACCAACCCTCTCAACCCTCTCAAATCAACCAACCCTCTCAAATCAATAAGCACATCCTCATGTGAGGATTAAAAAAAAAAAAAAAAAAAAAGCTGACCCTGTTAACGGACATTTGACCACCTCAGTGGGTATGTACAATTAAAACCTGCATCTGGGAGTGAGCGAGGGGTTCAAAAATTCTGGGAGAGAGAAAAGCAGACAAGAAAGGCTTTTGATTCTGAGATCCATTCTAAGGCTCAGCCTAGCCCCTTAGCTGTAGAAAGCCCAATTAGCTTAATATTTCTTTTCAAGATTATCAGATTCTTCCCAGTGGGAATCCTTTATAAAAAGGAAGAACCATCACCAGAGCAACACAATCACTGCCCCATGACCTCATGGGGCAGTGATTGTGTTGCTCTGTGAATCCCCCTGCATCACCCCTTGCTTGCCTAGTCTCTCTGAGGGGGCACCCCTGCCTAGCCAAGCTCCAGAAGGCACTGACCTTGCCATGCTTATGGTGCTTATGCGCCTTTTTTTGAGCTTTCTTCATTTTCTTCCGCATCTTCTTATCACTCACCATTCCTGGTGCTATCATGCCAGGAGCCAAGGGATTAATAGGAGGCATGCCAGGGGCAGGTGGTGGATATGGAGGGGGATAGGGACCTGCTGGTTGGTATCCTGGATACGCTGGTAGTGGCCCAGGATAAGGAGTCCCACCTGGGGGGTAAGCTGGATTCCCCTGGGGAGCTCCTGGGGGAGTGTGAAAGGGGCCAGAGGGAGGAGGAAAGGGGGGCGGAGGAAAGGCAGGATTGACAGACGGTGGATGGACAGGATTGGAACCTCCAGGGTACCCGACATTAGGGGGATATGGATTTGGCCCTGGCTGCCCTGAAGAAAGAAGCAAAAAAGAAATAAAGATTAGGATTACCCCGGGCCTCTGACAACAAACAACAAAAAGGCAGGGATTTAGTTTCTCACTCAATACTTAAAGGGAAATATCACATGATCTCATTCATTTATGGAATACAATGAACAACATAAACTGATGAACAAAAAACAGATCCAGAGACAGAGAAGCATCCATCAGACCATCAAACCTCAGAGGGAAGGCAGGAGAGGGTGGGGGTAATGGGGAGAGATCAACCAAAGGAACTTGTATGCATGCATATAAGCCTAACCAATGGACACAGACACCAGGGGGGTGAAGGCATGAGTGTTTGTGTTTTTTTTTTTGTTTGTTTTTTTTTGAGGGGGGTAATGAGGGTATAAGGACACATATGTAATACTTTAAATAAGTTAAAAAATAAAAATAAAAAATACTTAAAGGGAAATGGAAAAGTGAGGAAGGAGAATGGAAGGTAAGGGAAACAAATCCATGCAGAAGAGCTAAAAGGTAATGTCCTTCTCCCGCTAGGAAGAGAGGGAGACGGTGAACCCCAAGGAAAGACACGGTTATGGAGTCAGCCATTAGGGACTTGGCCTTTGCAGATGAGGGGAGAGATGGAAGAAAACCACAGAAACTTCCTGTTGTGGGGCCCATTTGAAAAGGGGTTGGGATAGAGAAGAGAGCAACCCCAAACACTTACCGGCACCGGAATTCCACATGGTCAGGTGTTTCCTCCAATCTGAAGAGAAAGAAAGCAAAAAGATGACCGCCCGCAAGTGGGGGGGGGGAATTTAGGGACCGCGCCCCACCCCAAAGCCCCAAGCTCTACAGTGGTCTCCCACAACCACCATGGCCTCCACCTAACAAGTTTCCTTCCACCGTTCCTTCGCCCTCAACACCTGTTTTATTCCTAGTTCCCTAACCTCAGGCACCTAGCTCCTAGGGCAGCTCCACCGTCCACCACCTCGGTCCGCAGGGCGACGTCTCCAACTCGGCCACTGAGGGGCGGGGCCCGCGAACTTCGCAATCCCCGAGCCTCCTCTCCCTTTCCGTGTCCGTGACTTCAACCACGCACAGATTCAGGAAGGATTTTAAACAACTTCAACCCCCACCCCGGGGGACAGGAGACAGCACCCCCAGCCCAGGCTAAGCACCCTCCTCCAGACCAAACCTGGAAGGTGTCAGCGAAACCAGGAAGGTGGCTCCTAAAAGGTCCTCAGCTGCTTACATATGTAGCCCCTCAGCCTTGCCCATTAAAGAGAGCAAATGGAGACCCTGACCCCCAGCTGCGAAGGGACCCCCGACCCAGGAACGGGAAAGGGAGGAAACTGGGGCACCAAGATGCCCCGTCACGTTTACACCAACCACCTGGGCTGGGCTGGTCCTCCTCAGGCTCCGCTCCCACTTCCTGGCCACGCCCCCCAGCGGTCCGCTTCGGCGCCCGCCTCTGCTGCCACCTGATTGGTCATTATGTGGTCGTTAGGCGTTGTGATTGGAAAGCGTGCTTGTCAATTACTCTCGGCCCTGCTGGGCTTAGAAGGTGCTGTTGTAATAGGGGCGGAGCCGGGGCTCTGAGGGAGAGGCGGGGGCAGAGGGTGGGCGGGGCAGAGGGTGGGCCGGTGCAGAAGGGTGGGCGGGCCGGAAATTCCGAGGTGCGTGGCCGGTTGAGATTGGTCCGGAGAGGGAGAAGCCGATTTCTGGGCAAAGCCCCTAAAATACGAAGAAGAAATTCCGCACCTACGGCCTGAGCTTCTCGTCCAGGTGGTGCAACACCTTATAATGTATATGCAGAGCGCTTAGGGGCGAAGGGGAAGCCTCAGTATTGCCACTTCCCTCTTAGTTTCCGTGGGAAGTAAAGAAATGTTGTTACCGGAAATATGGAGATTTCCTAATCTTTCCTAGGTTGCCCCATCTCAATTGCGTGGCTCCGCCTTCTGTCAAGTTGCAGAAACTAGAAGCCACCTAGGCTAAGTGAAGGACCCTCTTTCCGGCGAAATCAGGAAAGTGGCTCAGGAAAGATCCTCCAATAGTTTATGTGGACACACCCACTCGCAGCTATCGAACTTCATAAACCAGAGACCCAAGGAGGTCACCTTTGATAGCTCCTCTCTCTGCGTCGCTTCTTCCCAGCCCTTCTGCAACACCACTGCACGGTGGAATCCCTGCACTTCTCATCTTCCTTGCTCCCAAGCTACGGTCATCTCTTGACTGGATTGCTGCAATGGCTTTGTTTTGTTTTGTTTTTTTGTAATAAGATAATTATCAAGCGTGATTTAATTAATATATATACAACCATACACCCAAAAGTTTAAAAATACTCATTCCTCTTAAGCAGACTTAAGAACATTTTATAAAAATTGGTTTCAACTGAGTTTGCCATTTTGAACTAAAAACTTTAATAGATTTATTAAATACTTTAAGTTTTTGTTGTTGTGGTTTTTTTGTGTTTTTTTTTTTACAGAGAGGAAGGAAGAGAGATAGAGCTAGAAACGTCTAAGAGAGAGAAACATCGACCAGTTGCCTCTTGCACACCCCTTACCGGGGATGTGCCCGCAACCAGCGTACATGCCCCTGACCAGAAATGAACCCGGGACCTTTCAGTCTGCAGACCTACTCTCTATTCACTGAGCCAAACCGGTTTTGGCGAACATTTTCTATTTTTTTTTTTTTAAGCTCTAGGGAAATTTATATCTGCATTATTTCTTTCTTGGAAAATTATATCAAGTTTGAAAAAATTATTGATGGTGGGCATGATGCTGTTAAATTATTTATTTATTTATTTATTTATTTATTTATTTATTTATTTATTTATTTTAGCTCTAACTAGTTTGGCTCAGTGGATAGAGCATCAGCCTACGGACTGAAGGGTCCCAGGTTTGATTCTGGTCAAGGACACATGCCTGGGTTGTGAGCTAAATTCCCAGTAGGGGGTGTGCAAGAGGCAGCCAATCAATTATTCTTTCTTATCATTTTTCTATTTTTCCCTCTCCCTTCCTCTCTGAAATCAATAAAAATATACATATTTTTAAAAGTAGAATGGTTCTGAGAGGTAGGGAAAGCTGGGGGAAGGTCAATGGGGAAAAAAAGGAGTCATATGTACTACTATTTGTAATACTTTAAACAATAAAATAAATTTTTTAAAAAAGTAGAATGATCAGAATGGATAAAAGAGTCCCAACTAGCCCTGGCTGGGTTGCTCAATGGATTGGAGTATTGGTTTGTACACATAAAGATTTTTGGCTTGATTCCTGGTCAGGTTATATACACCTGGGTTGCTGGTTTGACCTCTAGTCAGGACATATGCAGGAGGCAACCGATTATAGTTTCTCTCTCACATTGATGTTTCTCCCCCATCCTCTCTCTCTCTCCATTCCTCTTCTCTCTGAAAATCCATAAATATAAAAAAGTTGTATTTCACCATAGGCATTTTGGCTCAGTGGATAAAGCATCAGCCTATGGACTGAAGGGTCCCAGATTTGATTCTGGTCAAGGGCATATGCCCGAGTTGTGGGCTCAATCCCTAGTAGGGGGTGTGCAGGAGGCAGTCGATCAATGATTCTCATCATTGATGTTTCTCTCTCTTCCTCTCTGAAATCAATAAAAATATTTTTTTAGTCCTAACCAGTTTGGCTCCGTGGATAGAGCATCGGCCTTCAGACTGAAGAGTCCCAGGTTCAATTCTGGTCAAGGGCATGTACCTTGGTTGCGGGAGTGTGCAGGAAGCAGCTGATCGATGTTTCTCTCTCATTGATGTTTCTAATTCTCTATCCCTCTCCCTTCTTCTCTGTAAAAAAATCAATAAAATATAAAAAAAATTTAAAGTATATTTAATTTAATTTAAAAAAAATATATTTTATTGCTGAAATCGGTTTGGCTCAGTGAATAGAGCTCGACCTGTGAACTGAAAGGTCCCAGGTTTGATTCCAGTTCAAGGGCATGTACCTTGGTTGCAGGCACATCCTCAGTAGGGCGTGTGCAAGAGGCAGCTGATTGGTGATTCTCTCTCATCTTAAAATATATATATTTTCTTGATTTTTTACAGAGAGGAAGAGAGAGTGATAGAGAGTTAGAAACATCGATGAGAGAGAATCATCGATCAGCTGCCTCTTGCACACGCCCAACTGAGGATGTGTCTGCAACCAAGGTACATGCCCTTGACCGGAATCAAACCTGGGACCTTTCAGTCCACAGGCCGACACTATATCCACTTAGCTAAACCGGTTTTGGCTTAGTATATTTAATTTTAATAGAGAAAACATGCAAATAACTCAAAATTCAAGAGGTAAAAATAAAGGTATATAGCAAAAAATCAGTCTTCTTCCATGATCACCACCTTTGTCTCAGCTATAGAGTTTTTCTTCCATAGACCACTTTATTCAGATATTTATGTTTTCAAGCTTCTAAAGAGCTTATTTACATGCATACTACCTCTCTGCGAGCATGGACTCACCAATCATGTTAATACCAACTAGATAAACACTGGATTTGATGAAATAATCTCATTTTATCGTACAATCATAGGATTATAGGAATGAAAATGACAGAGAATTGTTCTTTCAACTTCCTGAGAATATTAAGTAAATAAACTTTTCGACAAGTTCACAGTTAGGAGAACCAAGATAATAATCTCAGTTTTTTGGCTTCCATGTTAGTGATGCCTTCAATGCAACACATTACAGTACACCCACTCAAAATTACCACAAATGGACACTGTAATGCTTACCACAACCCTCCCCTTGCTCCTTGTATTTATGGCCTCTCTGGCCTTTTGGAGATGGTCATAGTTGTTGCTGTTTTTAATAAGCTTTATTTTTTAGAACAGTTTTAGGTTTACAGAAAAATGGATACAGAGTTGTTATATTCCCCACACCCAGTCCCCTATTATTAATATCTTACAGTAGTATGCTTGTTACCAGAATGAATCAACATTGACTTATGATTGTTAACTTTATTCCAACTTCTTAAGTTTTTAGCCAATTCTGTTCCAGGATATCACATTTCATTTAGTCACCATGTCTCCAGAGGCTCCTCAGCATTGTGACAGTTTCTCAGATTTTCTTTATTTAAGACGATCTTGATACTTTCGAGGAGCGCTGAATGGGTATTTACTAAAATGTCCCTCTGTTGGGGTTTGTTTTTCTTAAGATTAGAGGTTTATTTTTGTTTAACATAACCCTATGCTTGCCAGCACAGGTCTGTGTATTCTTTTCATATGACATTACCATTTCTAATCATTCATGGCATTTTCATAAACATTGTTTTTAATGATGAGAATTCCTGCTCTGTTACTTAAGGTCTGTGTAACCTTAGACATATTCCTAAACTTCCCTGAATCCTTGTTTTCCTCCTTTGTAAATGGTGCCCACAGGATTATCACGAAGCAGGCAAGTAGACTGTTGTGAGAAGCAAAATACAATGAAGTTATGTTTAAAGACTATTTAGAATGGAGTTTAACCTAGACTGGGGGAGGGGGGGAGGCGGCCAAGCGGTCATTTCCGTAGTTGAGGCTGCCAGACCTAGGAGGGAGGAAAGGGGGATGGTACCCAGCAGCTGGCCCTGATCCCACACAACCTCAGTGGGGCCTGAGAACTAACCAGATAAGGGTAAGGTGGGCTGGGGCCTCAGGAAGGGACAAGAACATCTTCCTTATTGGGATCTTCTAGGACCAGGAGAAACTGGTGTCCTCGAGACTCGAGGAAGAAGGAAAGGCAGCCCTGAG